TTCATCTATACCATCCACTTTTACCATCAAATAGATCGCTCCAGAAATCACGAGCGAACACATTTCATTCTGATAGTGTATGCCTTTAACTTTATTACATCTTTTTGTTCCCAAATTCAACTATAAATCTGCCCTCGGAGCCCAAACCCCTGTTTGGGAGCAAAATAATCAGGGACTGTGGATAAACCCAAGCACCTTCTGAAATGTATTATATCCATTCCTATCATTTCCTAATGACAAAAAGCAGCCATTTTACAATGACACCTCAGTTTCTAGGAAAATAAATATGTCTTTTGTGTAAATTGTCCATTAAAAATTAGCTAGGGTCTTGATGTTGATTTTCTGCTTAAAATTCACTGGAACATTTGTTTCAGATAATAAAATTTTCAAGAGCGCTGATAACATGTTTGAGGAGGATTCTTAAGTAACTATCTATGCTCATGAACACAAAAGCTCCTAAATATCTGTGTTTACTCTATGTCGGGCATGGATTTTTGTCATTTACACCAACTGGCTGGTGCAGACAGCTTCTTTCCCCCCTCTCTTCCATTCTTTGCCACTCACCTCCCCCATCCTCACAACCACCACGGAGCTTTGAAAGAGCTAAAGATTCTATTTTTCCAATATTTAAAAGAGATAGCAGTGATGAACAAATGCGGTGCAGTCACTGTGGAGTTTTCGAGACAACCCTCCAGTACTAGAATGCGACAGCCGCTGCGGATATTTTTTTGGCACAGAGACAATGGTGGCAGTGCCAAGCCCCATGGCTAAAACTACTCAAAAGAGGCATAAGGGTAGCATTAATCGCTCAAGTCTTTTACTGCATGAAGTACTGTTGTACATATTTTAAAAACTAAAAGTATCCGTTAGTAACGTTTGTCATAAGCCCAGAAAGGGTGTGTGGTGGTGCGGGGGATATTCTGAATTATGTACCAGAAATAAATCTTGTCAGGCATTTGATTCATTTTTATACCTAAGAGGACCAAATGTTAAATTTTGCTGCTGGTGACGCTTTGCCGTGCACGAAACGGATGATGTGACCTAATGGAGTGGTGCACTGAAGGCTGAATGAAAGCTACAGGGAGGATTTCACAAACTGAGTCGACATATTGGCTAAACAACTTCCTTCTGCAAAAATCATGTATACAAGGAACATGTAATACTGTGTCACAATTTTAAAAATTAAACAAGAAAAACGCTGTAAATGAGCAGACACAACATCCGTCCATCAATCCTTCTAGAGACAAAGGGGATCAACGTGCAGCCCTTCTCTGGAGTAAGTCGGCATCTACAGTGAGCGAACCACCCGGAAAGTCAACACGTGTTCCGTCCAAACTGAACCCATCGGCTGCTAAAACCTATATTTAAATTTAATTATTAAAAAATGACACCAATTGGCAATCAATAAAGAATTCACTTGCTTCTTCTGGTGCCCTGCAAAAACTAACTTAAGCAGAAAACACACCGTAAGCTACTTTCAATTTTTTTTTTTTAAGACCGATATTTTTGCTGATCTATTCAGTAACCCTTTATATTGCTGCCCAAGAATGATAAAGAAAAAAAAATTTTTTTTTTATTTGGGGGAAGTATGGTTAACAAATGCCTATATATTTCCAAATTTAATAATTTTATATTCTATAATTTTCCAGGACTTCTAATTTTTCTTTCAATATATCCAAAGTATCCTATTGTAGGAACTGCCCAGGGAATTGGATGAGAATGAAAATATTACGTGAAGAAAAAAATGTCTCTTAAGTCCATTCATTCACAGGGCTGCATCTAAGAACTATTGCCTTTGGTAGATGGCTACACCAGACACTTCTAATCTGCATGGGAAGACTGAGAGACAAGAACAATTCACTGATGCTATGATTTCTGGAGGTGGGCTGTGACGCAGAAGAACCCACTGGTGGTTGACCAGTAGGATAATGACAAGGTCATGTTTGGGGTTCTAGCCTTTCATTCTTAAAAAGCCACTTTTAAAATTATATATAAATAGTATATATTTTACCTATCACTGAAAAAGATGCACCCATAAAGTGAAACATATCCCTTGAAAATCCTTGATAGAAAATTATCTAATGCTGCAGGACAATACCAAGCAAGGCTGTTTCACTGTTAATCCGCATTCTGGGAAATGAAGAATGA